GGGAAGGAGGGAGGAGATGGAAATGAGAGGAAGGAAGAAAGGATGGATGGATGGAAGGAAGGATGAAAGAAGGAAGGAAGGAAGAAAGAAAGAAAGAAAGAGGAAGGAGGGAAGGAAGGAAAGAGGGAGGGGATGGAAATGAGAGGAAGGAAGGAAGAAAGAAAAGAAACAAAGAGGGAGAGAGGGAGGGAAGGAGGGAGGGAGGAGATGGAAATGAGACGAAGGAAGGAAGAAAGAAAGAAAGAGAGGGGGAGGTAGGGAGGGAAGGAAGGAGGGAAGGAGGGAGGAGATGGAAATGAGAGGAAGGAAGGAAGGAAGGGGGGAGGAAGGGAGGGAAGGAGGGAGGAAGAAGATGGAAATGAGAGGAAGGAAGGAAGGAAGAAAAAAGAAAAAGGGAGGGAGGGAAGGAGGGAAGGAGGGAGATGGAAAAGAGGAAGAAAGGAAGGAAGAAAGAAAGAAAGGAGAGGAAGGAAGGAAGGAAGGAGGGAGGGAGGGAGAGGATGGAAATGAGAGGAAGGAAGGAAGGAAGGAGGGAGGGAGGGAGGAGATTGAAATGAGAGGATAGAAGGAAGGAAGGAAGGAAGAAGGAAGGAAGGAAGGAAGGAAGGAAGGAAGGATGGATGGATGGATGGATGGATGGATGAATGGAAGGAAGGGAGGGAGGGAGGGAAGGAAGAAATTATCCCAGTGTGAATCAGTTTCTGAAGGACTAAAAACAACATTTAGTTTCCCAAAGGGATGTCGCTTGGTCCACTCCTGACCCCACCATTGGGTTCATCTACTTCTGAAAAGCTTTTGCCAGATCAAAAGAGGAAAAGCACGATTTCCTTAAAATCAAGACCAATCAGTAGTTCTTTTACACTCACGCTCCCTTCTTCCACCTTTGAGTTGCCACCGTTGGGCAAGCGAAGGCCTCCCAGCTGTGGGTTTCACCTCCACTCAGTTTAACGTCCCCCCCCTCAGCCCTTGGGCTTCTTCCCCACGATGCACTGCCTCCAGCGTGCCCTGTGCCCCCTCCCCTTGCCACCCTACCCAACCCAACCACGGGGCCTCACCGTTAATGTCCAGGAAGTCCTCCGCCATCACCACGGGGCCTTTGTCGATGGGCTTGGCCGAACCGTTGAAGACGCGGCCTGCAAAGAGAAGCAACCGTGGGGAGGAAGGCCCAGGGACTTCCCCCCCGAAGGATGTTGGGTGGGGTGGGCCCAAGAGAGGAAGGGTCCACCATGAACAGTCCTGGGAGAACCTGAACAGGTGCCCAGTATCCTCCTAACTAAACTCAGCTGAAGGAATGTCCTTCAAGAAGCCGTCGGATGCTTCAAGATCTTCGGCTGCACGGACAGAAGGACGGAACCCAGATCACGTGAAGAGTTAGTACCGCTTTGGAAAGCCTTGGTAAAACCACACTTGGACTGTTGTGTCCAGTTTTGGTCGCCACCATGTAAAAAAGATGTTGAGGCTTTAAAAAAAAGTGCAGAGAAGAGCAACAAAGATGATCAGGGGACTGGAGGCTGAAACATATAAGGAACGGTTGCTGGAATTGGGTACGTCTAGTTTAATTAATTTAATTAATTAAGAAAACTTGAACCGTAAGAAAGGCCGAGCGCCAAAGAATGGAGGCCTTGGAACTCTGGGGCTGGAGAAGACTCCTGTGAGTCCCCTGGACTGCAAGGCGATCCAACCGGTCAGTCCTAGAGGAGATCAACCCTGACTGCTCTTTCGAAGGCCAGATCCTGAAGTTGAAACTCAAGTACTTTGGCCGCCTAATGAGAAGGAAGGACTCCCTGGAGAAGAGCCTGATGCTGGGAAAGATGGAGGGCAAGAGAAGAAGAAGGGGACGACAGAGAAGGAGGTGGCTGGATGGAGTCCCTGAAGCAGGAGGCCTGAGCTTCAATGGACTCCAGAAGATGGTAGAGGACAGGAAGGCCTGGAGGAACGTGGTCCATGGAGTCGCGATGGGTCGGACACGACTTCGCAACTAACAACAACAAGTTTAATGAAGGGAAGGACGAGGGGGGACAGGATAGCAGCCTTCCAATATCTCAGGGGCTGCCCCAAAGAAGAGGGAGTCAAGACATTCTCCAAAGACCCCAAAGGAAGGACAAGGAGCAACGGATGGAAACCCATCAAGGAGAGAAGCAACCTGGAATTAAAGAGGAATTTCCTGACAGTGAGGACAATTAATCAGTGGAACGGAAGTTGCCTCCGGAAGTTGTGGGTGGGGTTTTTTAAGAAGAGACTGGACAGCCATTTGTCTGAAAGGGGTTAGGGTCTCCTGCTTCAGCAGGGGGCTGGACTAGAAGACCTCCGAGGTCCCTTCCAGCTCTTTTATTCTATAATTCTGCCTCCAACGGGACACCCAGAGCACAGCTGAATCCAAGGAAAGTCACGCCAGAAGACCCCCGTGTGTGGGGGGGGGGCTTCCTGTGCAGACCCCTGAATGACCTGGCCCAGCACAGCAGAGCCATCGAGAAGAGCCTCTTGAAGGCGAGGCCAACACTTTCTCCAATGGCGCGCCTTCTGTCACCCCACATCAGGAGAAGCTCTCCTGGAAAAGAGCAAGGCTGGGGAGATGTTGGGTCACATCACTGTCAAAATGAGCCGGGGAGGGGGCTCAGATTTCCATCCCCGTCCTCAGGTTCCCCCAGCCCTTGACTTGGAGATCCCTAGAAGTCAACGCCAGGGAGCTCCCCCTCCTTCCCCCAAATAACCCACCACGAACATCTGGGGAACCGAGGCCACTATTCAAGAGCTTCTTCTTTTCCACAGGGGGGGAGGGGTTTTCCCCAAGATCCTGAGCGCTCTTTGTCCAGACTCAGTGGGGAAGACCGGCTTCGGATGTCCGCTCCCTTCCTTGCCCCAGAAGCAGAGGGATGGAATAGAATATAGAATATAGAATATAGAATATAGAATATAGAATATAGAATATAGAATATAGAATATAGAATATAGAATATAGAATATAGAATATAGAATATAGAATAGAATAGAATATAGAATATAGAATAGAATAGAATATAGAATATAGAATATAGAATAGAATATAGAATATAGAATATAGAATAGAATAGAATAGAATATAGAATATAGAATATAGAATAGAATAGAATATAGAATATAGAATATAGAATATAGAATATAGAATATAGAATAGAATAGAATAGAATAGAATAGAATAGAATAGAAGGGACCTTGGAGGTGATCTAGTCCAACCCCCTGCTTAGACAGGAAACCCTAGATCATGTCAGACAAATGGTTGTCCAGTTTCTTCTTGAAAGCTTCCAGTGATGAAGCTCCCACAACTTCTGAAGGCAGCTTCTGTTCCATAGGGTTTCCTGTCTAAGCAGGGGTTGGACTAGATTACCTCCAAGGTCCATTCTATTCTATTCTATTCTATTCTATTCTATTCTATTCTATTCTACTCTACTCTACTCTACTCTATTCTATTCTATTCTATTCTATTCTATTCTATTCTATTCTATTCTGTGTCGGCGAATCTATTCTATTCTATTCTATTCTATTCTGTGTCGGAAAATTTCTCCTTATTTCCAGGTTGAATCTCTCCTGGATCAGTTTCCATCCATTATTCCTTGTCTGGCCTTCAGGGGCTTTGGAGAACAACTTGACCTCCTCTTCTTTGGGGCAGCCCCTGAGATATTGGAACCCTGCTATCCTGTCCCCCCTGTTCCTTCTTTTCATTAAACTACTAGACCTACTCAATTCCTGCAACTGTTTCAGCCTCCAGTCCTTTAGCCATCTTAGTTGCTCCTCTCTACACTTTCTCTAGAGTCTCAACATCCTTTCTATAGTCTGTTGACCAAAAAGGGTTGCAGAAGACCTCCAAAGGTCCCTCCCAACTCTTGTTCTTCTGTTCAGCATCTCTGGTGGCTTTCTTCTCTCCTGGACACCTGGGCACTTTCCTATCACCGGAGCCGACCTTTGATCCTCGTGCTTCACGGCGGCCCCTCCGTGCCCTCCCCAAAGACGCCCCACCTACCCAGCATGTCCTCGGACACCGGCGTGCGGAGGATGTCCCCAGTGAACTCGCAAGTCGTCTTGTGGGCATCGATGCCAGAGGTCCCTTCAAACACCTGCAGAGAAAAAGCCACAGGCCAAGGAGCCAAAGACTGGGCCATTAAGGAGGATTAGCAGCAAAAAGCTTTCAGCCTCTCCTTGGGCCAGGATTGTCCCCTCCCTCCCTCCCTCCATGCCCATGCCTCTCATCTAGGACCCCCTTGACCCCCGTGGGATTCCCCCGCTCTGCAGGCTTCCATCTGCGTGACCCCTTGCAAGGCAATCTTCACACCTCTGCCGGGACTGGGTGGATGGAGAGGGATCGTCTCCTGCCCCGTGTCCAGGACAGATATGGCCGCCTCCAAGCCCCTTCTGTCCACAAGGGTGGGGTGGGAGACCCCCAAAGGTCTCCACGCTGGAGGAGTGAAGGTTAGCAGGCAGCCTGCTGAGGGAGCAGGCAGGTCAAGCTTGCCGCTGCCTGGATTCCAGGACACGGCAGAGTGGCGCAAAGAGGGCAATTCTCGTGATCACGAGAGGGGCTTAGAAAGGTCAGCGGTTGGTTAAAGATTAATTCTTTCATTGTCTTGTATGTATCCTAATTTACAGCCCAAATGTTGGAGATGTGGTAGCTTGGACGCTCCTTATTTTCCTATTTGGTGGACTTGTAGAAATATAAAAGCTTTTTGGATTAAGATTTGGTGGAACATTCAAAAGATCTTCAAGAGAAAGTTAAAGTTCACTCCACAATTATTTTTGTTGGGTGTTATTACAGATTGTGATACTAAAGAGACTAATTTGATGTTGAATTTGATAACAGCTGCAAGGTTATTAGTAGGGCAATATTGGAAGAAGGATTTGCTTGCCTGCTATAGAAGAATGGACGCTTAAAGTGTCAAGTTTAGCAGAAATGGCTAAGATTTCTGCCTATTTGAAGGATCATTCACAAGAAAGATACATTTCGGTTTGGAGAAGATGGATAGATTATATTCAGAATAAATATGGGACTAAAAAGTTCCATTTAGCTTATGAGTAAATTTTAGAGTATTATTAGTATTAACAGTTTATTATAGTGAAATTTTTATTAGTTTTAATTATATGATATTATTATTATTTTTAGTATTAGTATTGTTTAACAATATTCTATTGTTTAATAATTAGGATACTAATTTGTTTATGTTTTAATTATGATTATTATATTTATGTTAAAGGGGAGTTAAAGCACATTATGGA